CGTGGCTTTATTATAATATTGATGAGGGGACAAAGACCCGCCAAGGTTTCGGAGCGTTTGTTCAGACCCTGACCTGGGCCGGAGAGCTAGGTCCGGTGAGGACCGATAGTTTTTTTTTTTTGCTTTTGCTTTTTGGGTCACACCCGGCGATGCAATCTTGGCTCTGCACTCAGGAATTACCCCTGGCCGTGCTCAGGGGACTATACGGGATGCTGGGAATACGAACCCGGGTCGGCTGCGTGCAAGGCAAACGCCCAACCCGCTGTACTATTGCTCCAGCCCCGAGGCCCGATAGTATTTTAAGTTCCTGCATTGCTACCGAGGAAAACCGAGGGGGTGCAGATCAAATTCGGGCTTTGCGCACCCAACGCCTATCGTCTAGTCCTTTGAGAGTTCCCTCTCCAGCGCTACTTCCTTTCCACGATGCAGAACCGGTCCTGGCCTGTCCGATCTAGTCTCTTACTTTGGGGGAGAGAGATGCTAGGCCCAGACTCCGTGATGCTCCCAATTATTGCTCCTGATGTTTTTTTTTTTTTCTTTTCTTTCTTCTTCCAGTGTTTGGACTGCGCCTGAGCATCTCCTAGCTCCAGCTCCGCGCTCAGGATTCTGGAAGCACTCCTAAGGAACCCGGGTCAGCCGCGTGCAGGCCAGCACCAAGAGTAACCTCTGTGCATCGCTGGGTGTGAGCCAAAAAGCAAAAAAGAGTACAGAGGTCAAAGCACCTTCTGGCCTGGTCCCCCAGTACAGCCCCTGAGCGCCGCAGGCTGTGGGTTCCCTCCTCCCCCGGGTTCTTTTTTTTTTTTTTCCCTTTTTTGTATCACACTTGGTGATGCTCAGGGGTTACTCCTGGCTCTGCACTCAGGAATCATTCCTGGTGGTGCTCAGGGGACCATATGGGATGCTGGGAATCGAACCCGGATGGGCTGCGTGTAAGGCAAACGCTCTCCCCGCTGTGCTATTGCTCCGGCCCACTGCTTATTAACCTAAACGGTTTCGGAATTGTGTTCCAAGGTGGCGCTGCCCGGCTCCAGAGGGAACAGCAGGCAAAGAGCACAGGTAGGTAGCCTCCCCACCCCTTTCCTGCTCACTACCCAGCACTCCATCTTTTACCCGCTTGATTTCCTTTACATTTAAAGGTTGCAACAATGTTCCAAGAGTCTAACCTTTATGTCAGTGGTGATCTACAGTCCCTGCAGCACCCGTACATTTTTTGCACCCCTCCAGTGCTAGACGCTGGGGGATTGGGCAGGAGTTCTTAACATTGTACAGAGGACCTGGCAAGTGCCAGGGGGCAGTGACACAAATCTTGTGTTTCTTTCACTTCGCTCATGCTCCTCCCAATCACAACCACCTTACTTGCATACAGTTGACCTAGGTTTGATCCCTGGCACCTGCTAAGGTCCCCCTAGGAGTGAGCCTGAGCCAGGTGTGGCCCCAAACTAAAAATAAAATGAAATTCCTCCCTTAACTTTTTTCCTTCCGGCAATGAATGAATGCCAGCCTTTCATCTTACAACTTGCAAGGTATGCTTAAACTTTATGAAAAAACACAAATTTCTTGAGAGAATTATAAAGTAAGCAGAAGGTCTTAACCTAGGGGCTTACCAGCACTAATTTCAGCACAGGTTTCTGCACTCAGCCAGCGGCATTTCATTTCTGCCGACTTCCAGTGCAGACTTCATAGCTCGAGTCTCTAGCCCAATAGTTCCCAGGGCCCGGGACAAAGCTCGAAGGGCCAGGAGGGGTAGTAGGCATGCCTGGGATGCTAGAGGCTTGGGTTCCATCCCCAGCTTCCCATGGTCCTCCAAGCACCAAGCTTGATCTGGCTCAAGAATAAAATTAAAGAAGAACTTCCGGAGGTGGGTGGGGCAGAGCGATAGCACAGTGGGTAGGGCGCTTGCCTTGCATGTGGCAGGCTTGGGTTCGATTCCTGGTGTCCCATATAATCCCACAAGCACCGCCAGGAGTAATTCCTGAGTGCAGAGCCAGCAGTAACCCCTGAGCATCACTGGGTGTGACCCAAAAAGAAAAAAAAAAAAAACTTCCGGGGCTGGAGCGATAGCACAGCTGGAGGGGGAGGGTGTTTGCCTTGCAAGCGGCCAACCCAGATTCAATTCCCAGTATCCCATATGATCCCCTGAGCACTGCCAGGAGTAATTCCTGAGTGCATGAGCCAGGAGTAACCCCTGTGTATTGCCAGGTGTGACCCCCCCCCAAAAAAAGGCAGGTAAGGCACTGCCTTGCATATGGCTGACCTAGGTTCAATTCCTGGCACCCATTAAGGTTCACTAAGACCTATCAGGAGTGATCCCTGAGCACAGAGCCAGGAATGGGCCTTGATTATCCCCAGGTGTGGCCCGGCCCCTGACAAAAGACAAAAGTCTCCCCCCTCCCAACCCCCCGGCTTCAAAAAGGGAGAAAAACTTCTAGCCCTCCCCCTAGTACCCAAGTGAAAAACTTGGCAGAAAGAAATACTAGGGTTGGGGTCCCAGTGGCAAAAAAAGCATGAAGTTCCTTTCAAGGAATGACAGACAAGCAATTTTATGAAACATCAGCAAGGGCTGTACAGGATTCTACAGACAGGGCAGGGTGGGGGTGCAAACTTCAGTGGAGGAGGCCTGGGGTTAATCTCCAGCACGACATGACCCCAGCACAACAGGGTGATTCCCCCTAACACTGTGGCTAGTTAGCTGCCCCTGGGCACCAGCTGGGTTTGACCTAAAACTGAAATCAAAGGAAGAGAAAGGCTGGGGACACCTGCTCTGGGCCCTTGCCACGCTTCAGATGGCGGCTTCCTGGGGCCAAGCTTTGGTCAACATCCTAACCCAGTGCGGGACAGGAAGGCAGCGTCCCCCTCTGAGGGTAGAAGGCCTCAGAGCTGGAGTAGGCAGGACACACTGCTTCTCTGGGGCCAGTCCTTGTTAATGACCTAAGGGCTCGCTCTTAGCTGCTCCTGAAACTTCATCTGACCTGAGTCCCCAAGAGGTCACCTGATCCTTTGTCATGTGTGTTTGGAGAGCTAGCTCAGTTTGAGGCTTATATATTTTTAAGGGGGAAGCGTGCCCTTTGGGTCACACCTAGTGATGCCCAGGAGATTGTGTGATGTTGGGATCCAACTTGGACCACCTGCACACAAGGCAAGCTCCCTGACTCCTGTGTACTAGCAATTTTCTTTAAATTTCAAACCATTCTACAATTTTAGAATGTTCACTCAGCCCCAGGTGTTCTTTCTGCTTTTAGCCACAACTGGCGGTGGTCAGGACTTATTCCTGGCTCAATGCTCAGGCATCACTCCTGGTGGGCTCGGGGGACCCTATGGGGCAGCGAGTGAACCTGCGTGAGCTGCATGCAAGGCAAACAAACACGCCACTGGCTGTATCATCTACGGCTCCAGCTGAGACCTTCCCAGCAAACTGGTCAGTCTGAGTCCAGAGCACACTTGAATCCTTCATTCTATGCAGACAAACCAGACCCACAGCAGCACCCTTGGGGCCCAGCCTACCTCTCCAGCTCAGATTTTTTTTTTTTCTGGGGGTAGGGAAGGGGAATTGGGCCATGACTGGCAGTGCTAAGAGGCGACTCCTAGCTGTGTTCACAGAACTAAAGCATGAGCGCTTTACCAGTCAAGCCGCAGTCCTCTTCCATCCATGCCTTTAATAAAAACGTCAAATGGGAAAAAGAGATAAAAACTCTCCTAAAACTCACAAATGAATGAATCTCGGAACCGAGTAGCTTGCTGCAGAGATGCCTCCGGGCCTTGCGCCAGCCGATTTCACTGGGATGCCTCAGACGGGAGCAGGCGTCGACCCTCCACCTGCCCCAAATGAATCCCAGCGGCTGTAAACCTCCAAAACCCAATGAAAAACACAGGTACATGGGACCAGTGACTGCAAACTCCAGGCCTCAAAGGATCAGAGACGAGCCGCTCCTTCCCATCTTCCTGCTCCTTCAGGGTCCTGGCTGTCACGCCCGCGAACTACTTCTGGGGCCACTTAAGCGCATTAACGGCCATCATCCAGACTCACAAATGAATCTCGGGATGGAGCAGCTTGCTGCAGAGATTTCTCTGGATACTAATCATCTAAAATTTTAGAATTCCAGGAACGCGTGACATCTCATGCTATTCACAACAAGCAATACAAAATAAATTATCTAGCATCTGCCCTGTAGGGCAGACTTGAGTGGTTGCGGGGAAAATTCGAAATAATGGTGGTGGGATCGGTGTTGAAATACTGAATGTGATTCATTATTGTGAACAACTTTATGAAAATAAAATTTAAAAAAGTCAGGAGTTTGCAAGATTAAAAAATACCCTACGCTTAAGGTCCCCTCGCACATAAATATGGAAACAGAAGATATGAAAAAAGGATTAAAAGGATAGAAACACCCATTCAAAATAACCAAGGAAGAAAACTCCGCAAAATCACCCAAACCTGGGGACCACATGTCTAAATGGGAGTCAGAGCGAGACTGCTCCTGTACCCCCTCACTCAATGCTGGGGGCGCAGCTCCTGGAGGGGGTCAACCACCCCCCCCCCCCCTTGTGCATGGGCTCAGCTGCATATGCGGCTGGGTACGTCCTTGTCAGTACTGGGAAGTGTCCATGAAAAACTTTCTCCCCCAGCTCAAACCACCCTACCTTTCCTCTCGCCCCCCTCTGTGGAGGCCGTGACTGATTTCTCCCAGCTTTTCAGGCTGAGCCTCCAAAATACAACCTAAAGTCAGAGTGTGGGCCAGAGCCCGGCTCCCCAAGACACAAAAGCACCTTTAATGGCCCCGAAACGGCGGACATTTCAGGTTGCAGACGTAGTTCAAGGCCTCCCTCCCTCCCAACGCCCCCAGTGGTGGAAACGAAGTTTCAATCCACTTAGGTTAGATGAAATCTTATTTACCAAAGAAATATATTAGCCAATCTCATTTATTTATATGTATGGTGCCAAATTTTGTGTGTGTGTTGTGAGTGTGTGTGTGTGTGTTTGGAGATTGAAGCCCGGGCCAGCCTCAAGCACTCAACCTGCTCAACCCACCCCAGCCAGCCTTCACCTCCGCAGAAATAAAAAACACAGCGAGATAGGACTCAAGACGGAGCCCGTGGCGTAACTCCCCTGCTCTCTCCCACTGGGGAATCTCTATCATCACTGACTACAGTGGGTCAGTCTGTTGTCACCCGCTGCCTGAATGTGACTGAGAAACCCAATTAGCATTTCCTTGATATCAAGCCTTATCAAATGACCCGTGAAGAGAGACTCAAGTTAGGCTGAGCAGGTCCAATAATCTTATCAGTTACTTTGAGAACTTCCTGTAGTGCCAAGTTTCCTGGTGCATTTTAGCCAAACGGAACCGAAACAAAGGCATTCAACTACAATGGATTGAGTTCAGGTGGTTCTGCTAATCCGCATTAAATTCATCCTCAGAAGAGAGGACCAGGGATTTGCTTACTACCTCAGAAGGCCGTAAAGGCAAGTGTGAAAGGCCTTGCCTTGCTGGGAAACTGCTGAGAAAACAGAGCCACCCCTGGCTGTCTGCCACGGAAACCAACGCTGCTACAGCCAGAGCCCACCTCGTGTGCCGTTTCTGTGTGGTAAACCTGAAGAAACGTGAAAGTACCATGGAAGGAAAAAAAAATGTATTAACTGAATGTAACAATTCTTCTTTCTTTTTTTCTCTTTTTGTGTCATATCCGGCGATGCACAGGGGTTACTCCTGGCTCATGCACTCAGTAATTACTCCTGGCAGTGTTCAGGGGACCCTATGGGATGCTGGGAATCGAACCCGGGTTGGGCTGCGTGCAAGGCAAATGCCCTACCCACTGTGCTATTGCTCCAGCCCCTGAAGATAACAATTTTTTTTGGCGATGCATAGGGGTTACTCCTGGCTCTGCACTCAGGAATGACTCCTGGCAGTGCTCGGGGGACCCTATGGGATGCTGGGAATCAAACCCGGATCGGCCACGTGCAAGGCAAATGCCCTACCCTGTGCTATTGCTCCAGCCCCCGAAGAAGATAACAATTCTTGAGGTAAGATGAGACACTGCTGAAAAGTTAACAAAGTCACAATGATTCTGTTTAATTCTCTTCCAGCTCTAAAGACGTAACTCTGCTTTCACCGTCATTACACTCTCGTATGGTTTCAACAGGGGATATACCTCCTCTTCTAAGAACCTCTGAACCTGTCAAAGAGGAAAGCAAAGCGAAGAAAAGTTGAATTTGGATAATGCTTTTTCCCTCCAATGTCAGTCCACACTACTGAAACCTAAAGTGAGATTTTTTTTCCTTTCGGTTTTTGGGCCACAACAGCAATGCTGCTCAGGGCTCACTTCTGACTCTGCACTCAGGAATTACACCTGGTGGTGCTTGGGGGACCATAAGGGAGGCCGGGGATTGAACCCATGTCGGCCGTGTGCAAGGCAAACACCCACTCCATTGTACTATCATTCTGGCCCCAAATCTCTTCGTCTTTAAAACCCCAGAATTAAACACAGTACCTGATCAACTAGTCTGCACACTGTGGAATTTTTTATTTCCTGGGGGGCGGGGGGAGAGGGAGGGACACCCTGCATTTTTTTATTGTGGAAGCAGGGAGGGACAGGAACACACGGCACACCGAGGGGTGTTCAGGGCTCAAATCCAACTACCTGCGTGCATTTTATTTATACATTTATTTTGGTTTGGGGGCCACAGCCGGTGGTGCTCAGGGGTTACACCTGGCTCTGCACTCCGGAATCATTCTTGGTGGGCTCGAGGGACCCTATGGGATGCCGGGAATTGAACCTGGGTTGGCAGCGTGCAAGGCAAACGCCCTCCCCACTGCGCTATCGCTCCAGCCTCACCGCTGAGCTCTTTATCCAGCCCCTGGTAAATGTTTCTGCGTTCAACTTTGCAGACTTTCAAAAGGCCCGGAAGAAAGTGATAAGCATTACTTCCCAGGAGTGCACCGAGCCAGCCAGGCGGCTCAATCAAAACCACCCGGGGCGAAACGTGCTTTTATCCAACGAGCCAGTGGCAGAACTGAATCCAGAATTCCCTGAGAGCAGAACCCGCCCTTGGGCTGACACCTTGTGCTCTAGACAAGTTTCCCCAGGTGGGCAGTGGCCAACCCCCATACCCTTTGACCACTGCCCGGGGCGTTGGGCAGATTGAGGGACATAGCAGAAGCCCTGGCTGCGGGTGGGGCACTTTCTGCCTGTTCACTCAGAGCTAAGAGAGACTTCAGAGGGCAAAGGGGGCAGCAGATCAGAGCAGCTGGGGCATCTCTGCTCTAGACGCGAAGAAACCAGAGAAATCCACGGCCAGCTCAAATCTCCACCTCGATCGTCACCTTCCAGCTGCCGTCTCACGGCACTGGATTCTGGCCCCGCGGCCCCTGAAGGCTGCCCTGACGATTACCTGCTGGGAGGACCGGCCAGTGAAGGAGGACGGGTCCAGCAAGTGGTCCAGCTGGGAGTGGATGGGACTGAAGTAGGCATCGGCCTGGATCCGCTGGATGAGGTCATTGTCACCCCCTTCCTGCTTGACCACGGCAGCGGCCTGCTGGGACAGCACCCTGATTTTCTCGTGACAGTCCTGCAAGAGAGTGCAGCCATGCTGAGATGCTCGCGAGGTGCCCTGGTGCCCCAAGTGAACCCACACCTCACGCCCCTGTGGACCCCCAGGCGAAGGTGAGCAGCCTCACAGTCGGACCCCCAAGACCTGGACTGACCACATTCTGGGGGGAGACTGACGTGGAGACCATCTGCTCTGGACGCCCCGGGCCTCGCATTTTCTACCCACGTCCAGTGACGGGGCCGTTCCTTCAGAGAGGAGCCTGCTTTTTTTTCTCTTTTTTGGGGTCACACCGGCGATGCACAGGGTAACTCCTGGCTGCACTCAGGAATTACTCCTGGCGGTGCTCGGGGGACCCTATGGGATGCTGGGAATCGAACCCGGGTCGGCCGTGTGCAAGGCAGATGCCCTACCTGCTGTGCTATTGCTACAGCCCTGCGGGCGGGGGGGGGGGGGGTGAGGAGGAGTCTAGGGCCCCACTCCTGGCTCCCATGCTCAGGAATCACCCCTGCTGGCTCAAGAGACCATGGACGGTGCCAGGGACTGGCAGCAGGGCTGGCTGCACGCTAGGCAAGAGCCCGAACCCCTGTGCTCTGAGGCCCAAGTGAACCTTTTCTCCCAGTGATTGAATCACGTGTTGGGGGTGGGGCGGGAGAGGGGATGCTGAGGCCTGAATCTTTGGCATCCACACATGCAAAGGACACATGCTCTCACCGGAGCACACCCCTCCCCCGCCGCCCGGGTGACGCAGGTCACAAGCCACCCCCGCTGCGGAGGATGGAGCGCGCGGGCCTTCGGGGCTTCGCACCTGGCGGCTGGCCCCCGCCTTCACCATGGCCATGATGATGTTCTCCGTGGCCATGAAGGGCAGCTCCTGCCGGATGCGCCGCTCGATGACCTGTGGGAACGGATGAGGGCCAGAGAGGACGGTGACAAATCACAGTCAGGAGTAGGGTGTAACCTCCGGGCAGCAAAGGACCCCGCAGAGATGCGGACCACCATAGCGAGAAAGAAAGAGCGTTTCGCGTCTGAGTTTTTCAGTTTTCTTACAAACTTTACTTTACAAACTTGTAATTATTTTGATTTTTTTTTTGACTCAGGCGGGCACACGGCTGAAGCTGATTCGACTGTCCCCCTTTCTGTTAACGTGTTTGTGGACCCCACGGAAGTTAGGTTACAAGCCCAAGAACGAGCTTGAGTTGGGAAGAGCCACTGACCAGAACAGTGTCCAGCTCACTCCGGAGCAGAAACCGCGACACCGCCACCCTACAGCCCCAGACTGTCTTCTCTCTACTGCTACTATTATTAACGCTGTAGGGCTGTGCCTGGCTGTTGAGGGGGCTGGGAGCAATGCACTGTGAGTAGTTGAACTCAGTGTTTTACTATTTTGCTTTTTAACCCAGGTTCTTGGGTCAGGTGTGTCGTGCGGCGTGCCTGGCCTGGGCAAGGCCCCGAGGTCTAGCCGCAGCACAAAAGCAATAGCCCAGCAAGAAACATAACTGAGGCTCTTACTTTGGGGTACACCACCAATCCTTCAGAAATGTTTTGCAGTGTGTTCAATATAGTATCTGCAGTGAGAAAGGCCTCCGCCAAACAGATCCGTCTAGAAAACAAACAGCCACCTCAGTTATGCTGTAAACAATTACCGTGAGAAGCAGGTGTGTCCTATGGCCCAGGTGTAGGCCAGGGACTGAGCCCTGGGCTCACACACCCAGGGACATCCCTGCCCGCTCATGGCTCCTGCCGGAGTCTCTGCAGACAACGTCCTTCGTCACTTTCCAACAATATCCGAGGATCCTCAAATTCACCCGGTTTTGCCAGACCGTGACCCCAAGAGCAAATACGCACCCAACCCGACAGCGCCCCCTGCTGGTCCAAGGGCACCTCAAGCCTGACTCTGAATCGGTCACAGTTCACCGCAGCACGCACACTGACCGGACCCTCCTGGTCCCTCTCGAGAGGCACCATCACCCCAATGCTAAGCTGAACAGTGGCTCCAGGCAGCCACTGGCGCTGCGCCCACACCCTCTCTCCCTCGCACGGCTGCAGGCTCTCCCCTGGCGTCGTACGCATGCGGCCTGCGGCTCTTGGGGCTGAGTGCAAGGTGAAGCTCGGTCTTTCCAGAGCCTGAGAAGCAGTAAGGAGGGAAAGGCACTCGCCTCCACGCAGCCGCCTGACTGCCATCCCCGGCACCCCTTAGAGTCCCCAGACCGAGTGCAGTCAGGATTAAGCCTGAGTACAGAGAGCCAAAAGCCCCAAACAAAAGCAAACCTGGAACAAGGGTGCAGCGCACACACCAGGCCCTAGGCACCACCCGCCGCACCGCATGCACCAAGTCCTCTAGATGTGCCCCTGGGGCCCCAAATGCCATCCAGGCTATGAAGAAACCGAGACAAGGGTTCTAAGCCTCAAAGTGGCCCCCACACTGGGAAGCTTCCCCGGACCTTCTGGTCTCCCTCCTCGGCACTCCCCATGAGTGAACACGCTTCACCTCGACACTCCCATGAGTGATCACGCTTCACCCCTACACTCCCGTGGGTGATCACGCTTCACCCCGACACTGCCTACCATGCTCCACCCCTGTGCCCCGCTTGCCGTCAGGCCCTTGGGAACAGGGACGGAACCAAGAGCCGCTCAGGATGAGCCTCTGCTCCCGTCCGCAGCTCTCTGCAGGGAGGGCCAGCACTGACCGGTTGGCACTGTCGTCCAGCGTGCGTTCAAACCACTGCACGGCGGCCGTCTGCAGCGGGTCCATGAGCAGCGCCATGAGGTGCCGGGCCAGGCTGCAGCAGCGCTCGGAGCGCATGGGGTTCCGCTTGTAGGGCATCGCGCTGGAGCCTGCCGGGACGAGCAGAGACGGGCTTCAGGGGCCGGGGGCAGGACCGGGCACGGCTAAGGCAGTGCGAGCACACGGCTACGGGAAAGGTGGGGATCGAGCCACAGCCAGGGTAGGATTCAGGTTTACGTATCGGGGTGAGGCTTAGGGTTACTGTGTTCAAAGCTGAAAACCCTAGTATTGGACAACTGTTAAATTTAGGCTAATGGCACAGTCAAGGTTAGGTGTTAGGTTTGTCTATTTCATATTTAGGAATAAAAGTATGTCACTGTCACTGTCCTCCCAGTGTTCATCGATTTTCGAGCGGGCCCAGTAACGTCTCCATCGTGAGACTTTGTTGTTACTGTGTTTGGCATATTGAATACATCACGAGTAGCTTGCCAGGCTTTGCCGTGCAGGCAAGATACTCTCGGCAGCTTGCCGGGCTCTCCGAGAGGGGCGGAGGAATCGAACCCGGGTTGGCCATGTTGGCCGCTTGCAAGTCAAACGTCCTACCCGTTGTGCTATCGCTCCAGCCCAGGAATAAAAGTATAGAGATTATTAAATTTTACTGGTGGATTAAGAAATAGGCTAGGGCCAGGTTTTGTAAAGGTTTATTATTATTTGCTTTTTGGGTCACACCCAAGCAATGTTCAGGGGTTACTCCTGGCTCAACACTCAGGAATTATTCCTGGCAGTGCTGGGGGGACACTATGGAATGCCAGGGACTGAACCCGGGTCGGCCACGTGCAAGGCAAACACCCTACTCACTGTACCATCTCTCAGGCCCAAGGTTTAAGTTTAAACATCAAAACTAACACCTACACAAACCTAACCCGGCCCCTACCTAATCCTAACCTAGAATAAGCCTGAATCTAGCCTAGGTTTGTAAGTTTCAACTAGCCTAAATTTAGCAGTTGTGAAATACTTAATATTTTAATTTGAACAACAGCAAAACCTAACACAGAACCTCAATACTAACAAGAACACTAACCACAGCCCTATTCCTAATCTAGCCTAAACTCTTCCATCAGTCTAGATTAAACAATCAAGTCATACTTAACTGGCATTTTGAAATAGGAAGACAAAAAAATCCTAACACTTAACACTTGCACACACCTAACCCCAGCCCCAATCCTAACCATAACACTAACCCTGTACAGCACCTGATTGCACCCTAGGCCTAAACCTAAGAATTAGTCTAAATTTAACAGTCGACCCATTCTTGCATTGTTGAGTTAAACACAGAAAAACCAAACACATAGCCCTACAAAATCTTGGATCCTAACCTAGAGTAAACCTGAACCTAGCCTAGACTCATCACTTCCAATTAGCCTGAATTTAACAACTTCCTTATACTAGCTTGCATTGAAAACTATGAAGAGAAAACTTAACCTTAACCCCAATCCTTACCTAACCCCATGCTTACTGTGATGGCAGATTATGCCTACAATTACCCATCAACTTAAATTTAACAACTGCCATATATATATACATATATATATATATATATATATATTTTTTTTTTGCCTTTTGGGTCACAACCGGCGGTGCACAGGGGTTACTCCTGGCTCTGCACTCAGGAATTACTCCTGGCGGTGCTCAGGGGACCCTATGGGATGCTGGGAATCGAACCGGGGTTGGCCTCGTACAAGGCAAATGCCCTACCTGCTATGCTATCACACTAGCCCCTTTCATTTCTAAATTTAAATCCAAACCTAACATCTAGTCCCTGCACAAACCTAACTCCAGCCCTAGACCTAACCTAATCTAACCCGATAGGAAACCCAGAATAGGCTTAGAACTTCCAAATAGCCTAAATTTAACAAGCACCCTATACTGACCTTGCAGATTTAATTTTGGAAACAGCAAAACCTAACCCCTCAGACACCTAACCTCGCCCTAGTCCTTGGCCAAACCTGACATTTGCCTATGCCAAAAACTACCAATTACCCTGAACCTCACCGTCTCCTGTGCTTTCCCTTTAAATCCACACACAGCCAAACCCAACATCTGAGCCTTCACCAATGCAACCCTACCCTCAGCTTCAACCCGAACCCTACGCTAACCCTTTACACTAAAGCATAAACCTACAAATTAGCCTAAATTTAAAACAGCCCAATATTCACTTCCACTTTTAGCCCTGGACACAGTAGAATCTAACACCTAAGCCCTATACAAGCCCGAGCCCTAACCCCAAGCCCAGTAATCCTGAACCTCGCCCAGCCTCCAAACTTCAATGTGCCTGAATTTAACAATCGTCCGACACTCCCGCTGCCTTTTGCACCACGAGCACAGGATCCTCCCATGGGCCCCACTCACCGATCTGCTGTTTTTCAAAGGGCTCCTCCATCTCCTTGAGGTTGGCCAGGAGTCGGATGTCGGTGCAGATCTGGGGGAAGAGAAGGCACAAGCATCACCCCATGCCCAGGGACTGGCGTGCTCAGGGACCACCTGCACAGCCCAGCGCCCCGGAGGAATCTCCTTTCTCCCAAAGAGCCGGGGGCGACAGAATCAGAGGCGTGGGAATGCAAATGTGGAGCAGCGCTCAGGAAACCAGGCAGAGGATGGGCGAGAGCACGCGGGCACAGGCACTGGCCTGGCATGGGACCATGGGCATGCGACTCCACTCGCACCCGTCCCTGCACGTGGTCACTAAGCGCCTCCGGGGCTGATCCCTGAGTACAGAGCCAGGCGTGGCCCCCAAACAGAACAACAAGAGAGAGACGTGGGCAGACGGTGGCCAGATGAAACGGAAGGAGAACGCCCGTCGTGGTCTCTCCCTGAAACCACCTCAATGCTTCTGGGGGGATTTGGCCCAGCACTGGGGCGCTTGCCTGCATGGCACCCGGCTTTGACCCCTGGGACTGTGCACGCACCCAGGAAACGGTTCCGGGCCAGGACGTCGCTCCCTGGCACAGCACACACTTTGCATGTGCGAGTGAGGCCTTGGGTTTAATCGTCTACCAAACCATATGCACGCTCAAGCGTGTACACACAACGAATCACCAGAGCAACACAAGGCCTTACTCCCGAGCCCGCGATGTTCAACTGATCTGTAGCGACTGGGTCCCCAGCCTGAACCATGTGTCCCCACGCTGCTGGTACTCACCTTGTGTACGGAAGCCCCCAGGCTCGCCAGCACGGACAGCACCTCAATATCCACTTTCCGGGTGTACGTCTGGCCCGTGATGATGAACGCCCTGGGAAATATTCCAGTGTGTCAGACAGAGGCAGAAACTCCGGTGAATCAGAGCTTGGCCTTCTGATCGACAAGGCACCCCGAGTCCGGTTCACTGGCCACTGGCTCGCCAGTCAACACTCCTCCCTTCCCTTCCACTGAGGCGTGGGCAGCTGCCCTAGCCCGGGGACACATGGTCCCGGGTGCCCAGTTCCTGACACACCTTCACAAGGCGGCCGTGAGGAGCCAGCGCGTGGCTTTAATGGCCCTCAGAGGAAAGGGTCAGCTTCACACGGGCCAACTGGAAGTCGCCAACAGCGTGGGTGACCCCTGAGCACGGGGCTAGGAGTAGCCCCTGGGCACCCAAACCTCAAATCTCCTTGCCAGCAAAAATAGAATCCAGACATTAAGACAATAAGAGCCGGGTCAGAGACAGGAGTTAAGGGCTGTGAGGAATAAAGGAAGACAGTCCCCTGAGGTGACCCTCAGGCCTTTCCCCGCCCTTCACCTACCTCTTGAATCCCGCCTTCTCCGTCACCATCCTGTCAAGCTGCTCTACCTGGGAGAGAGAGACACACGTGACTCCAGCCGAGCCCCACCCGGCCAGCCTGGATGCCCGGAGTGCTCTGCGTACCTTTTTTTTTTTTTCTTTTTTGGGTCGCACCCAGCTATGCTCAGGGGTCATTCCTGGCTCTGCACTCAGGAATCACTCCTGACAGTGCTTGGGGGACCATATGGGATGCCTGGGATCGAACCCAGGTCGGCCGCATGTAAGGCAAACGCTCTACCCGCTGTGCTATCGCTCCAGCCCGCCTGCGTACCTTCTGGTGGTCTCCTTCGAAGAGCTGCAGGAAGCTGGCCTGCGTGCCCGTGGTACCCTTCACGCCCCGGAAGCGCAGCTCCTCCCGGACCCGCTTCAGGCCCTGCAGGTCCATGCAGAGATCCTGGATCCAAAGGCAGCAACGTTTGCCAACGGTGGTCAGCTGGGCAGGCCTGAAAGATACCCGCAAACAGGAAACTGCCATGCCCATGTGATCGGCTGTGACAGTGGGCACCCAGGGACCCAGGAAGCCGGCAGAGTCAGCCAAACACACCCATGACAGCTGACTCCAACCCAGAACGGGGCGGGAGCGGCCCCTGGCGGTGCTCAGGGGGGACAGTATGTGGTGCCAGGGATCCCAGTGGGGGTCGGGTGTGCACAAGTCAAGTACCTTAACCTCTGAGCCAGCCCTCAGGCTTCAGAAACAATTTCCTTAGGTTTCTACGATCAATGCCATTAACTCAACAGGTTTCCCTAACTAAAGGAGACAGAACCTGTACGGTTCTGTTAGCACAGTGCTGTGTCATGAATGCTTTCAGCAGGGATTCAACACGGCTGAGCCCAGTTCCTGGCACCATCAGGTCTCCCCGGCACCTCCAGGAGTGACCCCTGAGCAACACCACCCCAATGAGCTTAAGCAAAGGGCTGAGATTCAACAAGCTTTGGGTTTCAGTTGTAAAGTTAGATGCAATAAAACAAAAACAAAACAAAAAACAACAACAACAATAAAAAACACAAAGAAAAGCCAGATACACCCACACAAGCCCAGGGAGGGGCACGTCACTCACTGAAAATGCGTGAAGCCCAACGTGGGCAGGTCGGCTCGTTCTTTGGCAAAATCAGCAAGTCGAGAGATGACTCTGGCGAGCTACGGAAGAGAGCATGGTGGGAAGGGGACCGCGACACAGCCCCGAACAGACCCCTCAGGTGATTTTTACACAAAGTCACACCTCCGGCTTGTGAAAGACAGAGGACAGCGGACAAAGTGTCCCTCCAACTTTGCATTTTCAAGTGCCACCAGGGCAACCAATGCTTGAAAACAGAGTTGGCACCTGAAAAAACAGACAGGAGTGGATAGAGTACAGTGGGTAGGGCACTTCGGCACCTCGCATGCAGCGGACCCGGGTTCGATCCTTGGCACTCCATATGGTCCCCAAGTCCACCAGGAGTGATCCCTGGGCACAGCTGGATATGGCCACAAAACAAACAACAACAAAAAGACAAAAGAACAAAAAAACAAAACCCAGCTAACCAAAACCAGTCGCTTTTCTATTTAACTGGCATGCCTGTCAGGGAGAGAACAAAGTCATACACCTGAGCCAGGTATTTCACGTGTACGTGGCTATAGTTCATTTCACTTTAAAGTGGTCACTTCCAGGGTCAAGACTAATAGTACAGGGGGCAGGGAATTTGCCTTGCACGCAGCTGACCCAAGTTTAACCTGACACTCTGTGTGGTTCTCCAAGTCCACCTGGAGAGGTTTCTTTTTTTTTTTTCTTTTCTTTTTGGGTCACACCTGGCGATGCACAGGGGTTACCCCTGACGGTGCTCAGGGGACCATATGGGATGCTGGGAATCGAACCTGGGCTGTCCGCGTGCAAGACAAATGCCCTATCCACACTGTGCTATCACTCCAACCCCCTGGAGAGATTCTTGAGTGCAGAGCCAGGCATAAACCCTAAGTACCCTGGGGCATGGCCAAAAAAACAACATAAGAAAAGCACCCACTGCCAGCATGTTAACCCAGCAAGAGAAAACTGGTCCTACGCATCAGACGTAGAGCTATTCCCTAAGGTGATCACCTATTTACATGGTGTTGATTTACTCATGAGCGGCGCCATTTCCTATCACAGGCGACCTCAGGCCTCTTCCAATCCTCACCTTTGGCAGAAGCAGGTCAAAAGCATTTCTAAGAATAATCAGGTCCTGCAAACAAGAAAAAGCAATAATCCTGCGTTATTAAATAGCTTTGCTCAGAATTACCTCATGCTTTTTTGGGCGATCACAAACTCAGTCCTTCAGCGAGTTGTCTTTCCTACAATTAACTTCTCACTGTACAAGGCAGAAAACGCCACCTCAGAAAGAGATATCACCAGGCGCTGGAAGCAACAATCCCTTCAGAGCCACAAAGCTCCAGTCCCGAGGGACCCAAAATAAGTGGAAAACGCAATGGTGCAGGTGCTCAACTCCCAACGCAGAGCACCTGTTTGGGGTCAAAGAAATCTCTACCTTCCCAGAAGCATGTTTGACACTGTAACCCCCTCCAACCCCCTGGTGCCAGGGACCAAACCCAGGGCCCCACACATGCAAGGTAATAAACATTCGATCACTGAGCTACTGCTTAGGCTCAGAAGGCGTGTCTGGAGGTGGAAAGGTAGTTTAGTGGTTGGGCACTTGCCGTGCATGCAGCCAATCAGGGTTCGACCTCCCTCCCCCATACCCTATATAGTCCCCCCCAGTAGCCAGGAGTAAACCCTGAGCACCCTGGGTTTGGCTAGAGAAGGGGCTCAGAGCAGGCTTTGCATGCCGGAGTTCTGGGTCTGATCCCAGCACAGAACCAGGAGCCACCTGGGCACAGCCGGCAGTGGCCCCAACCCACAAAGAAAGGCCAGCGCAGTCTTCGGTCAGGGCCGGGCACCTCTGCCCACCCATCTCACGAGGGTCGCCAGGACTTGGGTTCCGTGGGAAGGATTCCCCGCCCCCCCAAAAAAAACCCAGAAAATTCCCGCGCTCCGAGACTCCTCCCCCACAAGCCCGAGATGATGCCCTTACGGTGTTGTCGCCCACGTAGCAGGAGGTGGCGCCCAGGTGGATGATGCCCGCGGCCTTCGGGCAGCAGCGGCCGAACGTGTGCACGTGCGCCATAACGTCATGCCGCAGCCGCTGCTCCTCCTCGGCCGCCAGGGCAAAGTCGATGTTGTCCAGGTTGGCCCGCATCTCCTGGAGCTGCTCCTCCGTGATGGGCAGCCCCAGGGCCTGTGGGCAGAGCACACGGGTCAGCGGACCTCGGGGAACACGCCCCCCCCCCCCATCCCCCAGAGAGGCGCTCAAAATCCGCATCCTGGGGCCAGAGCAGTGGCACAGTGGGTGTTTGCCTTGCACGTGGCTGACCAGGGTTCGATCCCCGGCACCCCTTATGGTCCCCTGGGCACTGCCAGGAGTAATTCCTGAGTGCAGAGCAAGGAAGGAACCCCTGAGCATCAGCGGGTGTGACGGCCCCCAGAAGGGTCAAAATCCGCATCCTCTCGGCAGTGTGGAGACCCAGCAAAGGCAGAGCTTGTCTTTCAGTTAACAGCGGGAGGGCTTTTCACTCCCAGCAACGGCCTGGGTCAAGTTTTGGGTGCCATTCCCCCCTCCTGCATGTGACAAAACAGGCAGAGAGAAAATCAGGGCACCAATTCAATCAGCTAATCAGTGGCTGAATAAATAGCAATACTCCTACATTAAAAAAAAAAGGGGGGGGCTTGAGAGATAGCACAGTGGGTAGGGCGTTTGCAACTCAGGTTCAATTCCCAGCATCCCATATGGTCCCCTGAGCACTGCCAGGAGTAACTCCTGAGTGCAGAGCCAGGAGTAACCCCTGAGCATCGCCAGGTGTGACCCAAAAAGCAAAAAAAAAAAAAAAGAAAAGAAAATCAGGGCTCAAGCTCCTAATAAAGCATACTATGGCTGTCTTCTGTTGGTTGTGGGGCCACACCTGATGGTGCTCAGGGGTCATTTGCAGCACCAGGTCCAGGTCCACTTACAAGGCAACACCTTACCCACTGTACCATGCTCCAGCCCGTACTACTGTCCTTTACCTCTCACTGGTACCTGAGTCCAATTTCTGAACTCTCTCTCTCTCTCCTCTCTCTCTCTCTCTCCCCACTCCCATCATCTGCACGAGCACGCCATCATAAGGGGCTGGTCTGAGGGTTTTATTACTATTAATAGTGATAACAATGGTTTATTAACAGTAATAAAACCCTGAGCTATTACTGTGCGGTGCGGGCACCAAATCAATCATTGCGAACTATCAGGGCATCACTGTACTTTCCCTGGGCACAGTGATGGGGGAGGAGGTTACATCTAGGGTGAAAGTTTCTTTTTCTTGGGGGCTGGGGGGGGGTGTTGGGCGGGAGAGGAGCCTTAACTGCCCCAGCGATCGGAGTTCCCGGTACTTGAGGTCACCGCCCTGCCGCCTGCAGTGGGCAGAGTGGCCGCAGTGGCATTTGCCTCTGAAACGCGATAGCCGCCTGGGTCACCTCGACTCGTCTGAGGCTATTTCTGAATCACGGCGGGCGGAGAAGCCACCGGCGCCCAGCACGTGCAAGAGGGGGACGGGTGCAAGACGGGGGGCGACAGGTGCAAAGGGGGGCAAACACGGGGGGGGGGGACGCGGGCAAGGGAGGACACGTGCAAGACGGGGGGCAGGTGCAAGGGGGTGCACACGTGCAAGAGGGGGCAGGTGCAAGAGAGGACACGTCACGTGCAAGAGGGGTCAGGTGCAAGAGAGGACACGTGCAAGGGGCGGCTCCTCCGCTCCCGGGCGCGGGGGTCCAGGCGCGTTACCTGCTCGGCCTCCGCCAGCCACAGCCAGAGCTGCCGCCACGTGCGGAACTTGAACCTGTCGCTGAACACGAAGCACATCTCCGGGCTGGCGTAGCGGGAGGCCAGCGGCGAGCGGTAGCTGTCCTGGCCGCACGAGGCCACCGCCGCACACTGGTCACCCGCCGCCGCCGCCATGGTCCCAGCCGCGGCGAGGGCGGGAGCGGAAGCGGAAGCGGAGGGGCGGGGCCCAAGACAACCCCGCCCCCCGGGTTCCGGGCGCCGCGGCGGGGGCGCTGCGGCTGCGCGCGGCCGAGGCGAGCACGGCGCGGGGTGGGGGTAGGCGGGGAAGGGGGGGGGGGGAGGGCGAGCCCGACTCGCGCCTGCGCAGTCGCGAAGATGCGCCCGGGCTGTGGGCAGTGCATTGCTACGCTCCCGGTGCGGGGCAGCTGGGCTTGAGTCCTCCGAAGAGCAGGGCCGCGGTTCTGCACCCGTGATGCTGGGGGCAGCTCCCAGCACACGCCCTCCCGGCCCGCAAAAATGTCCTGTGGTTGATCGGTCATAACAAAGGCCTCCAGTGTTTATGGGGGACTTCCCACGGAGCAGACAGAAACAGCTCTACCCACGTGACCGTGCTGAAGCCTAAATCGGAGGGCATCAGCCTTGCACGGGGCTGGCCCGTGTGGTCACCCCAAGCACCACCAGGAGTAATACCCCCCACCCCCACCCCGCCCGGGGAATCTCCGGGTGTGGCCCCCCCAATCCCCCCCCCCACACACACACAGTCTTGTTCGTTGCAACAAAATAGCAACTGGAATTAGCAAAAAATAGTTCAGTAAATTTGTGAAAATTGCTCTTGTCTCATGGGCTGGAGCAATAGCACAGCGAGTAGGGCGTTTGCCTTGCACACGGCCAACCGGGGTTTGATTCCTCTGTCCCTCTCAGAGAGCCCGGCAAGCTACCGAGAGTTTCTTGCCCTCACAGCAAAGCCTGGCAAGGTACCTGTGATGTATTCAATATGCCAGAACCAGTAACAAGTTTACAATTTGTTGTGAGACGTTACTGGTGCCCACTCAAGCAAATCAATGAACAATGGGAGGGCAGTGCTCTCTCACAATGATCTTATCAAAGTCACTGGGAACTTTTTTTTAAAAAAATATTAGGTAAGACTTCACATTTGATCAGACTATAAAGATGCAGAGAGAAACGAAATACAAAAGCCATAAGGTGGGCATGAGTGGTGATGGTCTGTGTTTGGGGCCACACCCAGTGGTGCTCAGGGATGCCTCCTGGCGGTGTCTTGGGGACCATAGCTGGTGCTCAGGCCTTGAACCAGGGTGCAAAGCAAATACCTTAATCTCTGTCCTATCTACCCAGCCCCACGTGGTATTCTTAAGAAAAAAAAAAAAGTTGGGGCCAAAGAGATAGCTCAAAGGACCGAATGCATTTTTTTTTTCCTTTTTGGGTCATACCCAGTGATGCTCAGAGGTTACTCTTGACTCTGCACTCAGGAATCACTCTTGGAAGTGCTCCGGGGACATACGGGTTTCTGGGGATCGAAGCCAGATCAACCGCCTGCAAGGCAAATGCCCAACCCGTTGTACTATCACTCCAGCCCGAGTGCATGCTTTGTGTGCAGGAGCCAGGGGTCCATCCCAGCACTCATGCTCTGGGAGCACCCCTGAGCAGAGTCACGAGCACACAACATAAACAAGAAGTAAAAAGAAAACATATAGTGGTGATATAAGATTGAGAGAGGGAATGTGCTCAGGAGTGGAGTTTGCTGACCTAATATTGACTTTGGATTTTAATGGTAAGAAATACCAGAGGGGAGTGACCTGAATAGAGACCACAGGCAGGGTTAGGGGAAGGGGACAGAATTACTAGGGCCTCACTGGTCATAGGGCGGATGGGCCCTGGTGGTGGCGAAATGGTTAAGGTATATACCATTTGCAGATGGCAGGACTTCCTGCTGGGTTAAATCATGGTGAGGCAGTGAGGGTGAATTATTAGATAGAACCATTTACTGGGGTGGGAGGTTGGGGAAGGTGGTTTGACATGGAAGGGCCCATTTGACTTACCGTCTGACTGTGGGACAAAGTCGATGGCGAAAGCTTGTAAACAGCACCAGGGAGGACAGTGACACGCATGAGGTTGGTTAGTTGAAACCATTCAGAAGATGCAGCGGGCCTAGGAAACAAAACTTACCCCCAGGGGCGGCCCTCCATCATGGAAAGATCAGAGGAAAGAGGAGAGTAAAAGTGGCGTTGAGGGTGGGTATCGCTGTCTAGTGAGACTCGAACACAGAACAGAGGAGGGCCTGGCTTTACGCACTAATGAAATCCAGTATTGCAAGGTCTGGCCTGTGGACCAGAGCAGGTAGGGCATTTGCCTTGCACACAGCTGGCCTGGATTCAATCTCCAGCACCCCAGATGGTCCCAAGTCCTGCCAGGAATAATCGCTGACACAGCCAGGTGTGGCCCAAAATTAAGCAGATAAAGGATAGGAAAGGCAAATGATAAGTAACATACAAGGGATGGAGCAATAGCACAGCGGTAGGGTGTTTGCCTTGCACGCAGCCAACATGGCCGACCTGAGTTCGATTCCTCCGCCCCTCTCGGAGAACCCGGCAAGCTGCCGAGAGTATCTCGCCTGCACGGCAGAGCCTGGCAAGCTCCCCGTGACGTATTCGATATGCCAAACACAGTAACAACAGTCTCCAATGGAGACGTTACTGGGCACGCTCGAGCAAATCGATGATCAACGGGAGGGCCTTTACTTTTTTACTTTTAAGTAACGTAACAGAGCACAGATGTGGAGTTGCATTACTTAGAGGCAAACGGCCACGCTCACCGGAATAGGAAGTTTTCCTTTTTTCTTTGATTTTTAGGGCCACACCCAGCTGTGCTCAGGACTTCCTTCAGGTGGGGCTTGGGGACCATAGGTAGTCTAGGGGACTAAATTCAGATAGGCCAGACGCAAGCAAGCACCCTACTCGTTGTACTATTACTCTGGCCCAAGAAGTTTGTTTTATTTTGTGGGGAGGGGGGGGAACCATACCCAGCTGTGCTCAGGAACCGTATGTGGTGCTGGGGATAGACTGGGGTTCGATATTCTAGTGGTTCTGATGGTAGAAGCAGAAAGCAGATCAGGAGAGAACTCTCCAGAGGGAGGCAGGGGCAGGCCTGTGCACACAAGAGGGTTTTTTCTTTTTTTCTTTTTGGGTCAACCTGGTGATGCACAGAGGTTACTCCTGGCTCTGCACTCAAGAATCACCCCTGGCAGTGCTCAGGAAACCATATGGGATGCTGGGAATTGAACTTGGGTCGGCCGCGTGCAAGGCAAATGCCCTACACCCGCTATACTATTGCTCTAGCCCTGAGGAGGGCTTTCACCAGGGGAGAAGGGGCCACAGAGAATGGGCCTGCACTGGAGGAACCGCACCCGTGGTGTGATCAGGACAGCGCCCTCTCTTGGCTGGTATGTGTCCTGTCAAGATGCCTTTGCTTGCCAGTTATATCCACATCGAGTCCTTGCTTAGCCCAGTGAGACTTGGTTTTAGGGGCCACACCTAGTGGTACTCAGGAGCTACTCCTGACTGTGCTCAGGAGTCAGTCTTGGCAGTGCTTGGAGGACTATGCAGTGCTGGGGGGTCAAACCCAGGCATCCTGCCCCTTGAGCGCTCTCTGGACCCACAGTGACTCTCCCCAGTGGTGTCTGGGATCCTACGTGGTTGCACCGGTGACAGACAAGTTTCAACTACCAGAGTTGGATATACGTGGATGCTTCGAAGCCGGCCTTGGTATGGTGAGTCACCACTCACTCCATCACTGCCGCTGGCGAAACCTTGTTCTGAGCTGCAGTTCTCTCTCTCGCTCCCCTCCCTCTGCTCCCCACACAGCACTCTGAGAACTAAGTCACTGCAGTTCCTAGAAATGGGGAAACATTTTCCTTCCATTCCTCCCTTCTGCCATTCTTGCGGTTATTCCTGGCTCTGTGCTCGGGCCTTCCTTTGCCATTCTTTTGTCTTTTTGGGTCACACCCGGCGATGCTCAGGGGTTAGTCCTGGCTCACGCACTCAGTAATGACTCCTGGCGGTGCTTGGGGGACCCTATGGGATGCTGGGGATTGAACCCAGGTCAGCCACATGCAAGGCAAATGCCCTACCCACTGTGCTATTGCTCCAGCCCCAACCATTCTTTTTTGGGGGGCGGAGTCACACCCAGCAATACTCAGGGGTTACTCCTGGCTCTGTACTCAGGAATCACTCCTGGCAGTGTTTGGGGGACCATATGGGATGCTAGGGATTGAACACGGGTCAGCTGCATGCAGGGCAAATGCCCTACCTGCTATGCTATCACTCCAGCCTCCCCCTTGCCATTCTTGATTACATGTTTTGTTTTGTTTTTTCTTTTTGGGTCACACCCAGCGATGCACAGAGGTTACTCCTGGCTCTGTGCTCAGGAATTACCCCTAGTGGTGCTCAGGGGACCATATGGGATGCTGGGAATCGAACCCGGGTTGGCCGTGTGCAAGGAAAACGCCCTACCCGCTGTGCTATTGCTCCAGCATGATTACATGTATTAACAAGCTTCTAACTTGGCAGGTGACAAGTAAGGACCTGTTCGGAGAGGACACTTGGCCTCCAGGGTGAGGTGCGGCTGTTCCTCGGAGTGCCAGAGCTCAAGGCTGGGTTGGAGGCTCCCCGCAGGTGCACCCCCAGGTTAGACAGGACAACACTCATCTCTTGCAGAGCTTCTGGAATCTGTCCCCCGACACGCAGTGCAAACCAACTGGCCAATGACAATGGCTATCCCAGCCACAGAAGTGATGAGATGAGAATCCCGGCGTTGAGACCCAAGTTCTGACACTGGATTTCTAGTTGATCTTTCATGTGGAGCGGGAGAGGAAAAACGGTAGAGGAGAACGCTGTCGGAAACTGAACGAACTAAATGGCGAATAAAACTGGAAACTACAAGAAGTGCTTAGCAGCCAAACACATTTATTAGTCTTTTTTCTTTTTTTTTTTTCCAGGAACCCAAAAATATTTTGTAGTTATAATGTAAGCAACTGAGTTGCACATAATACAATCATATCTTTCCAAAATAAAATAAAAAACTAAACAAAAACAAAAATAAGCTGCTTAAAAGCCCAAAAAAACCCTTCAGAAAACTCTTACATATGCATTACATCATCT